TCATTTGTACCATGTAAATGAATCCTAAGTTAAGCAAACTAAGGAGCTGACACAGAAATATTGGCCAAAACAAACTGGCCATACTAAAATATAAATAATGAATGAATAAGACCACTGCACTGCCCACCTACTTTCTCCCTTCTTCATCTTTGAGAAGGCCTCCATGACAATGCTCTGGCAATGGTAGGCAGGTTCTCTTCTTCCTTCCTCCGTTCCCCTCATAAACATATTTCTTTCTTAGTCACTTCACAGAGGGCCATGTCACTTAGCAACAGCCTTTGTGATGCAAACATGCATACATATGTTCATGCATGCACGCATATTTTGAGATAGATAGATAGATAGATAGATAGATAGATAGATAGATAGATAGATAGATAGATATGAATGAAGAGCACATAGACTAGTCAAGTCCACTCACATTGATACAGCCATCTTTTTACTAGATTGGGGCAGAAAGTGCCATCATGATGTCTAGTTGGCTCTGACTTTTTCATTTATAATTTTAGTATTTGCTAAAACAACCGGCAATTTATAAATTCCATGCATATATGACATTCACTATAATTTCTCTGCAATATATAATTTATTAATTATTGCATCTAACATGTGACATCCACTAATAGAATTAAAATACATATCGACTCATAACTTATGGTGTAACATAATAAACTAAACAGATTGTTGTGATTGGCCACAATCCCCACAAAAAATCCAGTTCAAGCCTATCTTGGTAATTGCATTTTTCACTACTGCAACAAAACTAAAATGGCAGAATGATTTTATGTCAATGTTGATTCACCAATGTATTAATATAATGGATTGCTTTCACCACTGTTTGTGTTTTGGGTATATGCTGGTGCCGGGGCAGGAGGGATTCTACACCATATACCATATCTGTGTATATATAGTTTGTTTATTTATTTGTTGCAGTATTTGTATACCACTCTTCTCAACCCCAAAGGGGACTCAGGACAGTTCATACTGTTATGTACTGTTGTATAATTATAGTGGGATTCAATCTAAATTGCATACTGACAGTAATATTTTTTGGCTTTGTATCTTATATATATAGTTGATAAAACCTCTTGCAAACAGGGTGTGAGATGCTAGTGCTGCTGTCATAAAACAACTCCAACATGCAATAAAGAAAGATTTGCTTACAGGAATCCCAGTAACTCTGAAATTAATATTAAGTACCTAGATATAAGTACTTAAGGAGCCCCAGGTGGCGCAGTGGGTTAAAGCGCTGAGCTGCTGAACTTGTTGACTGAAAGGTCGCAGGTTCGATTCCGGGGAGCGGTGTCAGCCCTAGCTTCTGCCAACTTAGAAGTTCGAAAACATGCAAATGTGAGTAGATCAATAGGTACCGCTCCGGTGGGAAGGTAATGGCGCTCCATGCAGTCATGCCAGCCACATGACCTTGGATGTGTCTGGACAATGCTGGCTCTTCGGCTTAGAAATGGAGATGAACACCACACCTCAGAGTCAGACATGACTGGACTTAATGTCAGGGGACAACCTTTACCTTTTTTTTTACCTAAATGTGGATGCATATGCTTTGGAAATCTGAGTTGTGGGGTTAAAATGCAGTAGTTCTATGTTGGTAAATTGTTGCTATTGTGTTTATTAGTAAAAACGTAACACAAAGAGAGAACAGAGCCTTGTTGTTCTGTCTGCTTCCAAGAAGGCAGTAAGAGAATGTGCTTTATTTAGCAAATTAGGTGCCTTCCCATTGCCTGTTTTTGCCTCTAAATATATGTGGCAATGCTTTTATCTCAAAAGATATGTAGCAAATATAAGCAATTATAAGCTAAAAATAGCTGCTCAAAGTTCTCCTCCCCCTGTTTGTTTCTTAACAGTTGTCATTTGTCTGATGGTAAGAATAATAGTCTCCATATTCTTTAGAACAGTGTGCCAAGAAACCATTTGACAGTTCAAAATGTTTGCAGTTTGTTTGCATTGTGGGTGGATGGCTAGGCAGATAATCAATCTGGCAAATGTCTGGTAGCGTATACAGCTGGAAACAAAGTTGACTGCAGGTATTCTGTATTCAGAAAACTAGCTCTATGAATGGCTGCTGTTGTGAAATCTGCTCTCGACGTCAGACGCCTGTGTTTCTAATCCCAGGTCACATGAGCATGCGTGATGTAACCTCAGACCTTGCCTACAGGAAGAGCAGTTGCTAATAATCTGTTATCTATAGTGCTGCGGCTGCTTGCCTGAAGCAACAATCTTGTCAGTCCTCCTTACGTTGAAGATTCTTTCTTGTACGTCAACCCCCCAAGTAATATAAGTTTCCATATATGGCGCTAAAAGACAGAGCTATGTAAACTAGTGCAGATTTCAGGTCAGTATCTGATTAATGTGGATTTACATTTCCTTTTCTGTCTTCATACAGAGTGTCAGCATTTGAGAATGGGAAGTGCAGCTTGCAGGCTGACATGTATCTGCATCGATCCGGATACTTATTTTACTATCTAATAATGGCTGACATTCTGACCCAGAAACGACAACCTACAGAATGTAGTTCATTTCCTTTTAAATGGATAGGTACAATTTCCTGTTTCAGAGCAGGCTTCATTGCCCAAGTGTTATTTTAATTATTAATTAGAATTACACTTTTGATGTGTAATGCCTTTACTTTTACCTATATGAGAGCTTGCTTCATCGATGTTCCCCCTTGATGTCGGGGAAAATTGCGATTGAGTTAGATTGCTGATCTTTGCCAAAAGCAAAGGTTTGGTGATAAAGCTTTTCTTCCCAAATCACTGATGTCAGGAATTTGTTTTGATGTTTTTCTTTTAGTTGTTGGTTTGTTTTCAAAAATACTTGTATAGTGGCTTTGCTCTTGGAACAGCTATTTTAAACTCTGTCTTGTTTTCAAGAACAGGCTTAAGAGTTGCTTGTGCCTTATCATTTCCTGGCCATTTTTTTTCTCACATAGAAATATATTTTCATATCTTCTGGCTGTAATTTTATACACCCTAATGTTGGAATTAGTTTCATTTAGCTCAATAGGATTTATTTCCAAGGACTACATCCCACAGGCGAGGGGAGAGGATTGTGGGAAATCACCTTCTTAGCGTGGCATTTCATGTTGCTCCCTCTCCAAAGGATCCGGAGAACTTATCACCCCCACCCCACACACATGTGTTTTCCTTATTTATTTATTTATTTATTTATTTATAGCCCACTGATAGAACAATAAAACCGTATCCTCATACATATCGTCTTGCCAGTCTGTTTCCAGTCAAAGTGCTGTTTTATGTTTATTGTCCGAAAGCCTGGTCCCAAAACCAAGATTTTAATTTCTTCCTGAACACCAGGAGGGATGGAGTTGATCGTATTTCATTGGGAAGTGAATTCCACAGGTGGGGGGCTACAGCCGAGAAGGCCCTGTCTCTCGTCCCCTCCAGTCGCGTTTGTGATGTTGGTGGGAGCGAGAGCAGGGCCTCCCATTTCTATAGAAATCGTCCATTTGCTTTGCCATCACTCTGGAGAATGCAGGCTCCTCCTAGTTCTTCCCTTTCCTATTTTTCTATAAAGAGAATGTCTCAATTACGGAAGTCCTCTATCTCGTGACAACACATAAACAATATTATATTACAATACTATTATATAAGAGTTTACCACTCTGTCTCCTGGCCTTAGAGTAATGGCAATAAGCATATATTTGGGGCGCATTTAAGAATCAACCCAAAGTAACCGGCTGTTGTTTACATTTTCAACAGAATGCAGGAGGCACTAGTGCCAGGGTTGTCCTTGTCAGTCTCTCTTCTTCCTTCTTCTCTCTTGTTATGGAGGGTGCATAGATACTGCCACGACCACCTTCTCCTCCTCCTCCTCCTCCTCCTCCTCCTCCTCTTACAGTGGAGCGTGGGCCTGGTGGTTGGCTGGTTTCATTATCATGCATGCACACTTGTTTATTTGTGGAACACAATGCAGCCAGATGGCAGCCCTTGTACCATGTTTTGTGCTCTGTTTCTCACCTCAAATAACAGGAACGCTTGAGCCTCTGATAAGTACCCACCAGGAAGTTCTCCAAAACATAGTTTTCATACCCATTGCTGGATACTTTCAGTTGCAAAGGTATCTCCCTCATTTCTCAAACTAAAGAGCTATTATATAGGTAATTGATAGGATGAGAGAGAGTCCTTTGCATGCATTTCTACCCAGAAGTAAATCTTTAAAAAAAAAGGTTTTTTTTTAATAATTTGGAAGTCATCTGAATAAACAGAAACTGTTAGCTTTTCCATAGGATGCCTTTCACTGATTTTCTGCTTCTATTACATGGAATAAGTGTGTTCTCATTAAAAGGCTAGATAATGTAGTCCCAATATAAAGACATATGAGCGCTTCTAGACAGCACCAAAATCTGCACGGTTGAAAAAACCTGCTTTGCAATGGATTCCCATCCCCACCCCCAAAACCCAGGCATACCTTGGGAGGGTGTCTATATGCCATCCCAGTAACTACCGGGATGGCATCCAGCCTCCCCTCCCCCCAAACGAAGTCCCACAAAACAAGCCTTAAAATTTTCAAAAACTTACCGGGCCCCATTAAGGTGGTCCTGCAGTCCTACAAGTGCGTAGAAATGACACACCAGGAGGACTGAAGGACCACCTTAATGGCAATCTGGTAAGTTTTTAAAATTTTAAGGCTTGTTTTGGGGGCTTGTGGGGGAGGTGGGATTCATCCCCGGGTAGTTCTGGTTGGTCCTGGAACTATCCAGGGGTGAGTTCCCACAGGCCTGATACCTCATTAGACCTGGGCCTTTCAGGAAGATCCAGCTCTAATGGGGTATCTAATCCTGGTTTGAGCCAAATTAATTCAGTTTTACCAGACATGTTGTTTGGATGCCTCTGGTAAAATGGAGACCAGTCTTGGTTTAAAGGCCTGTCTGGATGAGCCAGAAATACTGAGACTTTCATGAGCAGGGGAAAAAAACTATTGTGATTTGAATGAATTAACCTTTCCTCTCTCATTATTTTAAACAGATGACCATCATGTCTCACCTAAAAGATCTCAAAGATGACTTCCACAGTGACACAGTCCTCTCCATTTTAAACGAACAACGCATTCGAGGTGTTTTATGTGATGTCACGATCATTGTGGAAGACACCAAATTTAAAGCCCACAGCAATGTTCTAGCTGCTTCAAGCCTTTATTTCAAAAATATTTTTTGGAGCCGTGCAATTTGCATTTCTGGACATGTACTGGAACTGGACGATCTTAAAGCTGACGTGTTCACAGAAATACTTAATTACATCTACAGTTCCACAGTAATTGTTAAAAGACAGGAGACTGTTTTAGACCTTGCAGCTGCAGGGAAGAAGTTGGGAATATCATTTCTAGAAGACCTTACAGACAAGAGCGTTTCAAATTCTCCTTGCCTTTATTCGTTTTGCAATACTGAAAAAGGTGAAGTCAAAGAAGAGAAAAGACAAGAAGACTCCGCAATCACAAATGGACCAAGGATCACCAATGCCTACTCCATTCATGAAAATGAAAACTGTAATAATTTGTTTTCTCCCCTTGACCTCAGAGCAAGCTTTAAAAAAATGCCTGAAAAAAATAAAGTATCTAATATTAGTCAAGAGAGGCGTGATGCTGGCAAAGTTGTTGAGCGAGTGAGTACATTAGCTGAGCACTCCTATGCTGTTACTATGGGTTGTGAGGTTTTTCAGCAAAATTCCTTTTACCGTGAAAGTAGCCCACTTGATAGAATGGATGAGGATGGTTCTGAAAGTGGCCAGTCGATGCCTGTTACTGATTCAGTTCCTCAAACATTTAATACATCAAAGGCAGTTTTAAACTCCCAAATCACCGACATACCTTCAATACAGCTACTGACCGTCAATGGAACCAATGCAGTGGGTCATCAACAAGTAGTAAATCATCACACCATTTCTTTTCAAAAATCCCATCCAAATAGTGACACTGTTCTGCCTTCCAAGGATGATGAAAATAATTCAGATCATATTTCTGGATCAATAGTTGCTCTCATTCCACATGTTTATAATTGTGCGAAATCATTCAGTGATGGAACTCAATTCAGCGCCCATCTCCAGCTTCACTCACAAGCTCAAGAAACATTTGTTTGCAAATACTGTAGCAAACAGTTTGAAAGTGTAACTGAACTAGAAACCCATGAGCAAGGATGTGGAGGATTGGACAATTGTGAAAATGAGCAGAATTGCTTAGATAATTTTGTTATTTCAAATGGACAAACAGTCACTTCATATATAAATCCAGAATCCACAATAACTGAAAATGAGCTGGCGGATTATTCTGTCGCAAACTGCACAATGCCAGAAACAGACCACTTTGTTAAAGTTGTTGATGGACAAGTGCTTTACACTTGCAGTGTTTGCAAACGTGCCTATGTTACCTTATCTAGTCTCCGAAGACATTCAAATGTCCATTCATGGAGAAGAACGTACCCTTGCCATTACTGCAATAAAGTGTTTGCATTGGCTGAATACCGTACAAGACATGAAATATGGCACACGGGAGAACGACGGTATCAGTGCATTTTCTGTCTTGAGACATTTATGACATACTACATTCTCAAAAACCACCAGAAGTCTTTCCATGCAATTGATCACCGTCTCGGAGTAAATAAGAAAACTGCAAATGGTGGCTTGAAACCAGGTGCGTATCCTTACAAACTTTATAGGCTTTTGCCTATGAAATGCAAAAGGCCACCATATAAGAGCTATGGCAGCACATCATATGAAAGCATACAAACAAGCATACAAGTTACTGAAGACACTTCTAGTACCTGCATTATTCAGAACGCTGTCACTTCTGAAGTGCCATCCCTGAATGTCCCACATAGTATATTGCCAAATCCAATGGTACCCTTGGATACATCTTCATGTAGTGATGCAACAGCAGCTCCTGTGAATACTCCAATTATTATTTCTCCTTGGGAAGCTAGTGTATCAGAAGCAGAACTCAAAACAGATACTTGTACTATTGAAATACCATTGTCCTCTACTCATCTTAATTCTGGTCCTCAAGATTATGATCCCTCTCTTCAAATTGTTAGTAACAGCAATGCCAGTGAAAATCCAGCCTCTGTTATTAACTATAATAATTCACCACCTACAGTCATAATGCATAGTGGTAGAATTTCTTCTGTAATCATGCACAGTAATGCTGTGAATACAGTAAGTAGTACAGAAACTACAGACGTTACAACCAGCCAAGCAGCAAATGATGACCAAACACATGGTTCAGAGGATAATAAAAGCAATATTAGAACAAGAAGCAGTAAGGAGAAGAAAGGGGCATCATTATACAATGAAGAGGAGACATCAGACAATTCACAGTGTATGGCAAATGCAACAATGTCTTCTAACATATCAACAGATCCTTTTGAATCTTCACATAAGACTGAGACCTACATTGCAAAACCTGCATTACCGGGAACATCTGCTGACAGCAGTGTTGCCCCTCTTTGTCAAATAACAGTTAAAATAGGTAATGAAGCCATTGTGAAAAGGCACATTCTGGGGTCCAAATTGTTTTACAGAAAAGACCGGAGATCTAAATCTGAATCCAAAGAAGATCATACAGCTCAAATTGCAGAACGGGAGAAGAGAGAGAGAAGCACATCTCGAGTTAGCAGGTCAGACTACATTGAACTCAATGAAATGTGTGATGATGTCAGCGACCATGACTCCAACGATAAACCATGGCGGCCATATTACAATTACAAACCAAAAAAGAAATCAAAACAGCTAAGGAAAATTAGAAAGTCAAGATGGAGAGAAAAACATAGGAGCCGAAATTCCTACCGAGAAAGTGAAAAGACACATGTCACAAGCTATGCGCTTAGGAACATTCCTGAAGAAAAAATCCCCCAGCAAGAAGAAGAGAAGAATATGCCAACTCTTCCCTGTGAGCTCTGTGAAAAAGATAGCACTTCTGATGAAAAGGCCCCGGATAATTTACACTGGGACACAACTACATTTGACTCCTATACTTGCGAATTATGCCAAAAAAGGTTTCAGAGCCCATCTGCTCTAAGAATGCATATGCGATGCCATACAGGAGAAAAACCCTACACTTGCAAAACATGTGGGAAGAGCTTTTCTGTATCAGGAAACCTACATAAGCATGAACGCACCCATTCGGGTGTAAAGGATTTCATCTGCCAGTACTGTAACAAGGCATTCAGCCTAAATGAGACACTTAAAATACACGAGAGAATCCATACTGGAGAAAAGCGCTACCAGTGTCAGTTTTGCTTCCAGGGTTTCTTATACCTTTCTACCAAAAGAAATCATGAGCAAAGACATAAGCGAGAGAACAATGGGAAAGGATATGCATGTTTTCAGTGTCCCAAAGTTTGCAAGACGGCAGCAGCTCTTGGAATGCATCAGAAGAAGCATTTGTTCAAGACCCCCAAGCAAGAAGATGGAGATGATTATCTGTTTCATGAAAGTACTAAGCCATTTGTAAGTCAACCTTTCATTGACTCAGATAGACTAGAAACAGCTAAACCTTTACTAAATGTAGGTGCAGATGGGCATGAAACAAGCAGTACTTAGAAGATTCCCATTTGTTGTTGGACTTTGAGGAGAACATAGAACAAAGACAATTATAAGAACATGAGTATAACAAATTAATGGTGGGACATTCTAAAAATGGAGATACTGTTTTTCTATATAAATATATTTCATGTATTACATGAAAAAGTATGCCATAAGAGCAAAAATGGAAATTGTATAGCACTTCCCATATAGTATGAAGGATAGACACCCAAAAAGGTATTTTGCATCCCACAGGAAAACTCTATAGTTAAATAGAGGCAAAGAAGAATATATGTAATTGAAAACTTTTAAATTGATATTACAAAGTAATTCAGTATTGAACTAGATCATGTTCAGATCAGAACTATTCTGAAGAGAATAAAGAGGAAAATATATACACGGAGAGTATGAAAATGTTAAAAGTGTTTATTCAATAGGTTGTAGAAATTGCACCCTGTATTCATATCCAAAAACTAATGTTGATTAGTTTCAAATTCCACACTGTAATTTGAAAGGATAGTTTAGCTATAATCTAATGTATGCACTGTACAGCATCTGGTAAAGTTTATACAGTTTATTATTTGTGGGGGAAATGCATCCAGATATTATAAAGCCTGAAAAAGTTCCTACAGAATAACTTTGTGAGGGTTCATGAGAATAATATAATAATAATAAATTTTTGTATTTTTAAGAGTGTATGATAATGTGTCAAAGGCTTGTCATATGTCAGGTGAAACACTAAATCTACAGTTAATTGAAGTTTCAATGCTTAGAGCTTGGTTCTTTCATGTATGTTAACAGTGTCACACATGGAAGGAATTTGACACAAGGTTCACCAGATCCTCTTTCCTCTTTGCCACTGCAATCTTTGCCCACACATACATGTGCTAGGATTTTCAGGTCATAAGTTTTTGGTGGAAAGTCCACACATGTCACCCATATGCAGCTGTTCTTCTCTTCCCTCCACAAAGGATCCTGGCCCAAATGTTACTTGTTTCCTGAGAAGTAAACCACAAGTGACTGATGAAGGGAAAGGATAGCTGGTAAGTGCATATTGAGACTTACAAATGGGCACCTCCTGAAAATCAGAGGATATACCTGATCATGATCTTGTTCAAGGCCGGTGGGAAGAAGAGGAGAGAAGATGATCAAAGGTCCACTACCTTCTGGGCTCCCTTGGATGTCACTTGAGAGATACAGAAGCACACACACCTTAGGGTTTACAGGAGGGAGATCAAAGTCTCTTCTATCCCTCATTCATCTCCACTGGTATTATTGCTCTCCAATTGTTTTTTTAAGAGGGGAAAATTATGATCTCGGAAGCTGGCTTTAACCACTGATGTGTAGATTTCCAGATAGAGTAGTTATACATGAATATAGCCAATGGCTGCATACTACTCCAGGACCAGAAGCTGACATATCTCTGTGGTTGGTTCCCCCCCCCCCCCCGGTCCTCCTTCAGATACACAGCTGTATCATTAGGCGGAGGGGGGTGGGTTGTATCCTTAGATTTAATGTAAGACCTATATTGAAACAATTGTTTTATTGGTTTGTGGTTCAAGGTGTCAGTGGCGGTTCGCATCAATAGGCATCAAGTGTTTATGATCGTACAGCTGGTAGTCTACTCTTATGGCATGACATGAATACCTTACGTTGTCTATGGTTTCCAACATACGTTCAGTTCACCTGTTGAGTTGGATGTTGTCTTTTTCCTTCAATATATAAGATTAAATATCATTTTAGATGTATGCAGCTAAGATACATTTCCCTGCTCTTTCTCCCCATGGCAGACCTTCCTCTGGAAATGCTCCACCAAGGATTAGGGGGTCCCTACTGAATGGGTTATGCTATGTTACAAGACAAAAGAGGGGTCAGTGAAATTGAAGTATGGACACAGGGCAGGAAAGTTCAATTAAATACACAATTTGGTTCTAACTCTATATTAAAACAATAGTTTGAAAATTAGTAGAAATGTACTAGGAGAAGCTGAAGCTTTTGTACTGAGTGTTGTTGGAACAACACAGATCTTGTGTATTTGTTGTTCATTTGTTCAGTCGTTTCCGACTCTTCGTGACCTCATGGAGCAGACCATGCCAGAGCTCCCTGTCGGCCATCACCATCCCCAGCTCTTTCGAGGTCAATCCAGTCACTTCAAGGATCCCATCCTTCCATCTTGCCCTTGGTTGCCCCCTCTTCCTTTTTCCTTCCATTTTCCCTAGCATAATTGTCTTCTCTAAGCTTTCCTGTCTTCTCATGATATGGCCAAAGTACTTCAGCTTTACCTCTACTATCCTTCCCTCCAATGAACAGTCGGGCTTTATTTCCTGAAGTATGGACTGGTTGGATCTTCTCGCAGTCCAAGACACTCTCAGAACTTTCCTCCAGCACCACAGTTAAAAAGCATCTATCTTCTGTCGCTCATCCTTCCCTATGGTCCAGCTCTCACATCCGTAGGTGACTATGGGGAATACCATTGCTTTAACCATGCGGATCTTCATTGCCAGTGTGATGTCTCTACTCTTAGCTGTTTTATCGAGATTGGACATTGCTCTCCTCCCAAGAAATATTGTGTTTTTAGAATACTTCTATCAACATTTTGCTGCACCTTCAGAAGCCTGGTTACCCTTATGGTAGATGGTAATCACTTACTACCTATGACTAAAGAAGCTCCATGTTGTCTTCATGAGTCTGGATAGATGCATACTAGTTTTCAGATCTAAGGATAAGAAGATCTATGCTCTCGTGCCAAAGAAAATCTTTAGGGATCCGAGCTTTTGGACCTCTTTTCTCATACATTCCTATGAAACTGAGAAGCTAATTATACCACAACTCAAGATAAATTTTCCCTTTCAGAACAATCATATTAGCCCTTTACACTAGGATTTTTGCATTTGTCAAGCTAGATCAAGCGTGGGCAAATTTCGACCCTCCGGGTGTTTTGGACTCCAGCTCCCACGATTCTTGACCCATGACTGAGTTAGTGTCACATAGTCAATAATAGAAAGAAAACCAGATATATAAAGGTATTACAAATATTTTCTGAAGATTTAATTGCATCATACATACTGAGGTTGGCAAATAATATAGGGATGATAAAAGGAAAATAAAATATATAAATAAAACAAACATGAGGATACTAGGAAAATGAAGAGCTTTGAGCCTATCCCATTTAATTTGTCACTGTTCAAAATCCAGACTGGGGGATTTCCCATTCTTCCTAATCATGTTTACTGGATACTGAGGAGGCATAGCTGCACCAGGAACAAGGCTTGCCCTTTATCTGCTGCTCACATAAGCTGCATATTCACTGAACATTACATTTATACAGGGATAATCCAAAAAATAAGGCTACAAGATTATTTTAAAAAACAAATAATGAACCTGTTTTAATAAAACTTACATGGATTCTAGCATAGGTATTACATTATTTTTCCACATAATCACCACTCAGTTCAATACATTTTGTCATCTGGGGGACGGGTTTTTGATGCCTGTGTCATAGAAGTTTCCCTCCGCCTTTTTCAGCCAGTTTGTCACTTTGATTTTTACCTCATCACCATTGGAAAAGTGTTTTCCACCAAGGTGTTCCTTCAATTTAGTGAACAGATGATAGTCACTGGGTGTGAAATCGGGACTGTGAGAGGGGTGGCTTAAAACATCCCAACCAAATGAATTAAACAACTCTTGTGTTGCATGAGAGGTGTGAGGACTCAAATTGTCATGAAGGAGACAGAGTCCCGCCTTCAGCATCCCACAGCTTTTTTTTTACTGGCTCTGCGAAGTTTCTTCATGGTCTCACAATATACTCCATACCCATTTTGTCACATGCTGTCTTGACCTTAAGTCCTTTCCATAAACTGAAATGATTCCACGAATTGCAGCAGCGTTCATGCCCTTAGCATTTAGGTAACGTATTACAGCATGAACTTTGCACTTGAAGGGAAACGGAATGAGGACGCTCATCTCTAACCTTCACCACAACGCCAATCAATGAGCTACTAAGGAGTAGCACTGCTTGTTCGCTTCCGCTGGCTTCCCGCTACACGGCAGTGATACCAACTTCTCCATTGAAATTACCCACGAGAGATACATGCTTTGTAATGTTACTTTCCGGATAACCTTCATACAATACATTTGATAGTGCAGAAAAGCTGAGAAATTTGTTTTATTGCAATACAGGAATGCTGTTAAGAATATTTGCAATACTATACTCATCATGGACCTTGGGCTAAATTCAGAGTAAACTCCTTGGAATGAATGGGAGTTAATTACTAATTTCAGCATCAGGATGGACTAACACCGAATTGAGTTTAGGGATTCTTAACCCATGAGAACCTACGACCTAACTACATGAAGTCTAAGAATTTGGTGTAAAAGAAATATTTCCCCTGATTTCTTTGTTAGTCTTGTGGTGAGAAAAGGCTTCTGATGTAAAATCAAGCGATTAAACTATTGTTTTACTCTAAAAAAAGCAACGGGTAGCACGGGAGTATATTGTACAGTCAGATAAAGTATAACTAGCATTCAGACACGACTGGACTTAATGTCAGGGGAAAACCTTTACCTTTACTTTACTAGCATTGCCACAATGTTATGCAGGGGAGGTTTAATCAAATTCCCAAAAATGATCATGGCGCACAAATGTTAAGAACCGCTAAGCTAGCTCTTTGTATGTTTATGCATATAACTTTATTTAATGTATTTAATGTCCACTTACATTACATATATAATAATTGTATATTTGTTCTACCCAGTTGTTGCTTTGAAACAAGCAGAAAGTCAATATTTCACTGTTGATATCAGCAAGGCAAAACATTAACCATATACTGAAAGTATTTCAGTGTTATGCTATATCTGCTTTGGTTGGAGACCCTTTCGGTTCGAAAATGTAGCCTATCTTAATGTTATACCTAAAATAACAGGAAAATAATGATATTTTCTAAAGAAAAAAAATACATTAACAATTCTAGACCAAAGCCAACAATGTGTAATTTTTATACATAGCAATGATTTTACAAGTATTTTGTATAACTGCATAATTCATATGGGGAAATATAGCTTCTGTTATGTTTGCAGAGCTTTGTATATTTGGATAATAAATGATAACTTTGTTATTCTGTTTGCTACAGTTTATAGAACAGCAATTTTAAGAAGGCAGTATTATGTTTATTGTACATAACGGCAATTTTAGTAGCTTAATAGATAAAATATTATTGACCAAATGAGACTTGAAACTTGATAGTACGTATTGTTAAGAACAGTGGTTTAGTATAAAATGGCATATGTATTTTGTGGTAATAAACTATTAAAATCTGGTGTTCAGAACAATGAACAGATGTATATTTATTTATTTAGGAAGATTAATGGTTATAATAAAGGGCTTCTTAAGGTAAAATAGCTAGTCCTTATATCTGAGGTTTTCTTTGCACAGTTACACTATTATTTTATCTAGCTCTGCGCAATATAGGTGATTAGACACAGCGAGGGTTTGTAAATCAAGCCCTTGTCAGCAGAAGTCCCCCACAAGGCATTTTTAAAGGTATCGTCACTTGGTGTCTGATATTTTTATACATTCAAATGATTAATGAATACAAACTTCTCTGCTATATTCAATCCTGACATTTAGAATAAAATGAAAGTGACTAAACACAGAAAAAGTAAGGAATGAATATAGCATTGCAAATACATTTC